GCTCTGGCATCGGCCGCTTCCCCAGGTATCCCTGGTTCCCTGTTGTAGAGAAAGATAGTCGAAATCAGTATCTGGGTGCTCGTTGCTGCTGGGGTGTCGCTGCCCCAGGCCCTCAGAGGACTAGAGGTGTTCATGTGTGAGTTTATACACCGTGTGCATTAAGCCAGCCCAGAGAGCCGTCCCGTGTACGTGTCCGGGACGGTTCTGAGCAAGAGTTCTGCGGCTGGAACAGTGACTGGAGAGGGGACTTCAGGAAGGTGGCACTCATGTGGGGTCTCGGGGTCTGTAGGAAGTCATTCTCATTCTGCATATTCAGACCTCATGAAATGGTTACACTTTTCCAAATGCGTCCACACCCCAGGAGCTTTTCCAGAGTTGCTGCTGCAAAGGCTGTCTAGAAGGCTCCTGGCCCCCCGGCTGATGCTTGGCCTGGGCCTAGAGGAACGATGGAAGAGGGCACTCCCAGGCACACCCGCACTCTCCGTCCCACCTTCCTCCCTCTGGAGAGTGGCTCCCCTCGTGGGCTGGCTCCCTCAGGGACTGCAGGGCCTTGTGCTTTGCATGTGAGGGCGCAGCACTTACCGCCTGACTGTCCTTCCCCTTGGCGAGAGGGAGACAGCCGGCTGCATCAGGACAAACCCCGTCTTCCCCGGGAGGAGAGGATTCAGACCAAGGTTGGCTTCTCTGGAGCTCGAGCCCCGAGCAGCATCCAGGCGTGGCCACAGGAGTGCAGGGCTGTGGCCTGGGGCGGGCGCTGCCCTCTGCCTCCTCAGTGTGATCTGAGCTCCACGCACGGCTCGTGGTGGAAGGAGCTGAGGTGTGGGCGCCTCGCTGACATGTGCCCCATGGGGTCACGAGCAGGGTGAGGGTCCATTAGGAGCGAGAGTGGGTGTTTCTCCTGCATCTGGGCTGCAGCAGGAGTCTGGGGTGGCTTTGTCCCAAGGACACAAAGCAAAGCCCACCCTCCCCAGTCAAGGCCGAGGGTCAGAGACGTGAGGGGTGAAGGACCCTAGACCTGCCTGTGCTGTGCCTTTCCAGAACCCCACCCCCCCGACTTGAGATCTCCACGTACATGGGGAACAAGGACAAACATTAACCCTCCTCTTTTTCTCCTGTCACCCCCGTGGGGACAGATGGTCGATGCTTCCCAAAGCATTGAAGATGTCCACAAGGAAATCCGCGAGCTCTCTGAGGACACCATCCAGGCCGCCGCGCAGAGGCCGCTGGGGGAGCTGTGGAAGTAGATGTATGGCACCCACAGGACACGCTGGGGGGCTGTGGCCTCCCCTGCGGGCCTGCGAGGCTCGGTGTGCGGACCGATGGTGTTCACACTGCACCATATGGGGGCGGTGCCCGAGCCAGTGACAGGCAGAGCCGCAGGTCAGCCTCTGAGCCTGCGGGGCCCCGGGAACTCCACGCGGCCCAGCGGGACGACGGAGCAGGCTCCCTCTGCCGTCTTACCCTGAAGGTACCAGGAAAGGATGGTATTCCCTGTTGAAGTTTCGCGATAACCACATCCAAGCAGTTTCATCAAGATCATTGCCATGGCGATCACCTGAAATCTTCCTGAATTTCTTACAGGCACTAATAAAAATTCATTTGAAAATGTATTGGGGTGGCCTCGCTTTCCTCAGATGGCAGCCGCGGGCCACCCTGCTGAGGGAGTGTCCTTCGGGTGGGAGGGCCCCGCGCGGGGCCTCTGGACCTTCCTCCCCGTCCTCGTCTGGGCACTGCCCCGAGCTGAGCAGTCTCTGCCATGCCAGGGCACTGAGCGCCTTGTGCGCTGGCCTCGCTGGGCCGTGTCCAAGTGATGTGACAGCCTGTCTCATCTGAACACTTGTGATCTTAGCTTTGCCATGCTCTCTGTTAGGATCTGGAATGTCAGGGGTGTCACTTTTCGTCCTGTTGCATGTTATGTTATTCTGAGATGGAGTGGGCTATTGGCACGTCCTAGTAGAATCCTGGCAGAGGGCTGGGTAGAGCTGGCGTGCAAGGCAGGCAGGGTGCTGGGCTGCCCCGCCTGGCGTCTCGACAGTGCCCCCGGCTGTAAGGGGCGGCGCTGTGGGTCTCAGGCCTTCCTCCTGTAGCCGGGAGACTGGATTCCAGGCAGAACAAGGATGTGATGTTTGTGTCAACACCAAGTTGCAGGTGGTCACAAGACGGTCTGCCCCAGGCTTGGGCAGAGCCTGTGTGTGGCCTGGGGGGTCCTGTGGAGCAGCAGCGCCCGGGTCCCCGGCCCCCTGCACAGGGCAAGGTCTGTTCTTGTCTGGGTTCCACAGGCAATGCTGCCCACCTCACCCACAGTCACTCGGCAGGTGGGTGTGGGGCCAGGATGTGCCCAGGCACCCAGACCCTCGGTCCTAGTCCCTGGGAGGCACCTGGAGGGGGGGGGGTCAAAGGAAACAACAGGTGGGGACGGCTGGTGGTTGTCCATGCTTGGAGTGAGTCAACAGGAGACAGTCCTGGGGTTGCGGTTCTGTTGTCTGTTCACAGAGTTCAAGGGGCTTGCTGCAGCTCTGCTGAAGGCAACAGGTTGGCCCTCAGGCGTGTCTGACTCAAGGGTTTGGTTCCACCCACCCAGACCATACAGCACACGCTTGAGGTCACAACTCAAGGACCCATGATTGAGTGACAAAAGCAAGCATCCACACGCAGTTAGACCATTTTCATGAAAACAGAGGCCCCGGGGCACCAGCACGGATGGCCTGGCAACACTCTCGCATTAACCTGCCCTTTTGATTTTTATATAACCAAGGTTACTTACTGTGTAATGAAAACGAAACAACGGGTGGACTTCTTATTTTTTTAAAGAATTTTTTTTTTAAAGATTGGCACCTAGGCTAGCAGCTGTTGCCAATCTTCCTTTTTTTTTAAGGATTGGCACCTGAGCTAACAACTGTTGCCAAGCTTTTTTTTTTTTAAGGATTGGCACCTGGGCTAACAACTGTTGCCAAGCTTTTTTTTTTTTTTTCTCTGCTTTATTTCCCAAACCCCACCCCAGTACATAATTGTACATCTTAGTTGCAGGTCCTTCTAGTTGTGGGATGTGGGACGCCACCTCAATGTGGCCTGATGAGCGGTGCCATGTCTGCGCCCAGGATCCAAAGCCTGGGCCGCCGCAGCTGAGCGCACGAACTTAACCACTCGGCCACGGAGCCGGCCCCTAAAGATTTTTTTATTTTGTTTTCCCCCCGGTACGTAGTTGTATATTCTTAGTTGTGGGTCCTTCTAGCTGTGGTATGTGGGACGCCACCTCAGTGTGGCTTGATGAGTGGTACCATGTCCATGCCCAGGATTTGAACTGACGAAACGCTGGGCCGCCTGCAGTGGAATGCGTGAACTTAACCACTCAGCCACGGGGCCGGCCCCCGGGTGGACTTCTTAACGAGACCTGAAACCAGCAGTTTGCCTCATCTGGCTGCCACGGGCATGCCAGGCTGGTGCACAGCAAGAGGTCACGGCTGTCGGGGATGGTCAGTGTTGGCCGTGGGTCTGGGTGAGATGACCCGGGGGAGCCAGGTGGGTCCGGGCTGTGCCCTGAGCACCCAGCACAGATCAGGAAAAGGGCTGAGCGTGAACCCCTCAGCTGGAACTGTGGAGGGCCAGAGACGGGACTGGAACTTTCTGTGGCCTGGGTTAGGATGTTGGGGGAGGCAGAGACCGCAGCACAGACCACCGTCTCCGGGCGTGGCTGTTGGTTTGGAGGTCTCCCCTGGCAGGAGCTCAGGGGAGGAGAGGCCAGAGCTGAGCGGGATCCCGCAGGCAGCCGGCAGTGGGACTAGAGTGGAGGCAGAAACGGTGCAACAGACTTCGAATTCACAGGCCATGTCCACTTCGTGAATACAGCTCCTGTTGTAAGGCATCCTGGCAGGGTTGCAGTGGCAGGCACGGCCAAGGGGGCTACACACCCTGGAGCACCTCGTCTCCACTGGCTCTTGGTCTCTTTCTAAAGAAGCCCGTTGGGCATTGTGATGGGCAGAATCACAGCCCCCAGAAGCCCACGTCCTAATCCCTGGGACCTGTGAACAGGGCACCTGCATGGCAAGGCGGCCCTGAGATGGGAACCCGCCCTTGACCATTGGTGAAGGCCCTGTGTTCACATGGGTCTCTAATGGAGGCAGAGGGTCCCGGTCAGAGGAGATGATGTGGCAGGAGGAGGGGCAGAGTGATTCACTCTCACTGGCTCTGAAGGTGGAGGAAGGGGCCAGGAGCAAAGAAGACAGGTGGCTTCTAGAAGCTGGAAAAGCAAGTAAACATTCTTCCCTAGAACCTCTGGCAGGAACCAGCTCTGCTGACACCTTTGGACCTCTGCTCTCCAGGATCCTGAGAAAGTCCGTTTCCAGCCACTGAGTGTGGAGATTTTGTTATAGTGCAGAAGCTAATACAGGCATTTTCTAGAGGCCACGGTTCCTGGGCCACCTTGCCTGGGGACCAGCAGAGTGCTTCCTGCTTTTCCTGTCTGGCTCTGGTCCCCTTGCACCTAAACTGGAAGGCGGGTGGGTGGGAGGAGGCGGGGAACCAAGCAGGTCTGGGTCACTCTGACCCACCAGGACTTCCCAGGCAGGGCAAGTGGACCTTGCTCACATCCTCCTGGGTGACCCACAGTGAGGCACCAGGTGCCTGCCCGCAGCTAGCAGTCTCGGCTGGCCTGGAGGGCCTGCTCTGGTAACTCAGACTAAGGCTGACACCACCCCCGGGACGCTTCCCACCACCCCGGCTGTCGAAGGGAGCGGGCGGCCGCGTGTCTTCTGAAAACCAAGCTTCATTTGTTCCCATTGGGACCACAAGAGGCTGAGGACAAGTGGCACAGCTCACAAAGCCAGGTCAGAAGCAGCATGGGCTCCATTTGACCACGTCTGGGGGAAACGAGCTCACCACGTCAGTCCACCAACCCATTACTTAATCTTCCACGTATCATCAGGAGCTAAGAAAATGTCCTTCTTGTTATTATCACATCCAACTATGATTCAAGGAAAAACAGAGACACACAGACAACAAGCTTAGTTTTCTATTGAAACTGTTATTATTTGCCATTAAGAATTGCAAACTATACTACTAGGAATGAACAACATTCTCTTCAGTAAGCCTTTTTCCAAACACACAAGACAAAGCTCCCCTTTGGTCCAGTTCTCTCCCATTTCGACCATCGCACCCACAGCAGGAGCTGCAGCGGGACCCGCCTGGCCCCAGCCGGCGGCAGCATGTTGTTAATCCAGAGAGACGCAGCACTGAAGGAATGGAGGAATGGAAAGCGTCCTGACCCTCCTCCTCCCGACCCCATGGCTACCTACAGGATGACGGAGGAGGAGGGAGGGAGGGAGGGAAAGGGACAAAAAGAAAAAAGGGAAATAACTTATGTCGGCAACACATGGGGCGGGGTGTCCTCTGCTACCTCAGCGGGCGGGGGGGACACGCACGAGTGCCGCCACCTGGGGAGGAGGGCCTGCCCGAGCTCCCACCCGCCTTGTTGATGCTTCTGGTGGGACGAAAGCCGCTCTTCCAGGACAGCCGGCAAGCCCTCGGGGCGGTGCCCTCCAGGGGACGGCAGGGTTAAAGGCGCGGTGCTGACAGCCGGTGCTCAGAAGGGTCTGGCTGCATCTCCAGCTGGTGCCATGAGCGGTGGGGTGCTGATCTTGCACCACAAAGCTGAGGGTTGTACCCTCCAGCCCCAAACCTGTCTGAAGCCTCGGTGACCTTGAGGGCAGTTCTGAGGACAAGCGGATGGAGGAAGGCTCCAGGTGGCAGTGTGCCATGGACCCCCGGCCTCCACCAGCCCAGCTCGCCGTGCCCCCCACGCTTTGCCAGCGGCCCGAGGGGCACAGGCCAGGGCGGCTCCTCCCAGCCTCCAACCACCCTCCACCCTGGAAAGCTGGTGCGTTGAGCAAGCAGCAGCACGCAGGCGAGTCACAAGGCCAGAGCCCACACAGAAACTGAGACGCACAGCTCGGGCTCCACCTGCAGCTCCAGAGAGCGGGCGTGTCTGTCCTGGCCATCTTTGATTTCCACCACGCCCCATCCCTTTGCTGTTCTCCTCAAAGCAAGAGAAACCTTGCCCTAATTCTTTCACCCCGATCTCCCCCTGAGGTAGCCCTTGATAAACCACACCTGGCAGAGGGCAGGCGGCCCCGTCCGCGGGCATCACTCCTCTCACGCCCGCCGCCCGCAGGTCTTCCGAGAGTGACTTGGGACACGCCCAACAGAAATTCATGTCTGTGTCTAGTAACTTCAAACAGGACTTTAATCCCAAAGCAAACCCAGAACTCAGAGCCCAGGAGGAAGCAGGACAGAGGCGACGCACTAACGCAGGGCTGGCAGTGTCGCAGGGAGCGCTCTCGAAGGGTGAAGGCTCTGCTCTCAGAAGCTCTGAGCTGGCTGTGCTGGGCTTCCTGCGGGCGGCTCCTCGCTCCCGTCTTGTAGCCCTGATGAGCCGAGCGTTCTGGGCTGAGCAGTCCCGCGCCTCGCGGTAAGGCCTCCAGGACAGTGCAGTCCTCCTCTGTCCGTGTGCAGAGCAGGGCAGGCTGGATGGATGAAATGCCGCGGCGCCGGGCAACCGGAGGCGTGGCGGGGCTTTTGAAGGCACCCCCAGCAAGGGCCAGTGGAGACCGTCCCCTGACTCCGGGATTTTCAAAGCGACAGGATTTCAAAGTCTTCATCTTCTGAGTCAAAGAATCTTTCCAGTCGCTCTACATCAGAGGAATCTAAAAGAAACAGGATAAAATCTCATCAGACACGTGGCGTGGTTTATTCTGGGCTGCGGGGATGAAGAGACACCGCCTACCACACCCTGCACCTGGGTCCTCCTGCCCTGGAGCTGGTCCTGCCCCTGGGCCAGACAGGCGAGTGTGCTCACTCAGGGGCAGCCTTGGTGTGGCGGGAGGCGCGCAGACTCCAAGACTGCCCAACTGAGGCCTCCAGCCTCCCAGGCGGAGGGGTCTGGGCAGGACAGGAGGAGGGTCCAGCCCTGTGATCATGGGGTCAAAAGCCTTGATTGGTGAGGGGGTGGGAGGGCAGGAAAGAGAAGCCCAGATGCTCGTTTGAAAAGAGGAGAAGGGACAGACACACCTCTCAACAAAGCACAGAGAGAAGTGACGGCGCCAAGAGGACAAGGGCCTCCTGTCCCAAGAGGGCATGCCCCACTCCATACCACCTGGGGACTGACGGGGCATCTGTCCTGACTTTCCAATGCTGGCATTCCAACCTTTTTATGGTTTCTATCAGGCAGCAGGCTCTGTCATTGCCCTCCTCGGTGATCTTCACTGACACGGGGTGGCAGGCTCCGTCATCGCCCTCCTCGGTGATCTTCACCGACACGGGGTGGCAGGCTCCGTCATCGCCCTCCTCGGTGATCTTCATGGACATGAGGCAGCGGGCTCCGTCATCGCCCTCCTCGGTGATCTTCACTGACACGGGGTGGCAGGCTCTGTCATCGCCCTCCTCGGTGATCTTCATGGACATAAGGCAGCGGGCTCCGTCATCGCCCTCCTCGGTGATCTTCACTGACACGGGGTGGCAGGCTCCGTCATCGCCCTCCTTGGTGATCTTCACCGACACGGGGCGGCAGGCTCCCTCATCCTCCTCCTCAGGGTTCTTCAGAGAGAAATGAGACAGAAGGCTCCATCATCGTCCTCCTCAGTGATCTTCACAGAGATATGGGGTAGCAGGCTCCATCGTTGTCCTCCTCATGGTGATCTTTACAGTGACACAGATGGAGGCATGAACTGGACATGCTCATGGCCTCACTGCTGAGTCCCTGATTTTTTTTTTTTTTAAAGATTTTATTTTTCCTTTTTCTCCCCAAAGCTCCCTGGTACATAGTTGAGGAATTTTAGTTGTGGGTCCCTCTAGTTGTGGCATGTGGGATGCCGCCTCAGGATGGCTTGATGAGAGGTGCCACATCCGTGCCCAGGATTCAAACCGGCGAAAACTTGGGCTGCCAAAGCGGAGCACGTGAACCCAACCACTCGGCCACAGGGCTGGCCCGAGTCCCTGTTTTCTATGTGCCACAAGCTCAATTCACTTCGGGAGAGTTGAGCGCTTGCACGAGGGAGGCCCCAGGCCCAGAGCCAGTGAGTAGTAGGAAATGGAGGCCACCTATGGCCACGGTCTTCCAGACGAGGGCTGACTGCCATGTGCACTGTGCAGACAGCACTGCCGCATCATAGAAAGTCTAGCGTGTTCTGGCTCCTACAGAAGCCTGGGGACCATGTGAGGAGCACCCCCAGCTCCATGCACATGGGGTGAGGAAGAAGGGAACAGACTGCATGCTGAGCTCAGCATGAGGGGAGGGGGCACTCAGCAGCATCCCTGGTCCCACACACACCACCTCCAGTGACCGCCTCTGGGCTGCACCCGATCTTACAGGTGAAAGCAATTGGAACAGGACTGGGGGGGAAGCAAAAGGGGGGCACAGAAGCATCACACAGACCACACCCCGAGCAGTTCAATAGGGGACACACTGCCTATTGTGTGTCATGGTCCTGCGGCCTCTGGACTCACCTAAGGACAGGTTCAGGACATCGGGGCAGGCCAGGTGGGAAGGCTGCTGCTCCACCAGCTCAAACATGGGCAGGGCACCTCCAAGCAGCGACAGCTGTGAGCAAGACACAGCTGTTAGACATGACCCATCACGGGGTACAGCCCTAGTGCACCCCTGCACTACCCCCCGCCCCCCGCCCACAAGACCACCACTGCGAGCAGAGGGAAACGCTGATGAGAAAGCAGAGGCAGCCTCCACATAAAGGCTCTTAACCCCAAGCTAAGGCAGGAACCCAACCCGGGGCTGCCCCATGGCAACCGCGTGCAGTCAGCTCTGTCCATCATGTGGAGGAAGCATGTGCTAGGCTGACGAGCACCCTTCGGGGGCCAACTCCACTCCCTACCACCCAATCCACACGAGATGGATGAGCCAGAAATTCCACTCTAAGGTTCACATGCAATGCCTGTCCCCGTGCTCACTAATCACCATCAGAACGATGCCAGACCAACAGCCAAACAAGGGCCATGGGACACTCGACAGCCGTGCACTGAGCGCTGGTGGAGGGCGAGCGTGGGAGGCAGGACCCCACGACACGGTGAGGCCAGCCTCCAGCCCCTGCCCCTGCAGACGGGGCTGATACCCACCATTGTGACTTGCTGGCACCAGTCGTTAAAGTCGTCCTCAGTCTTACAGAAAAACCCCTGAAACGAAGACAGAGGTAAGCAGGAAGCGGCGTAAGAGCACACCCAGGCCGCACCTGGACGCGCTGTGTGTGCGTAGAGAGCTGAAGAGGCCAGTTTCCAGTCCCAGCGCCCCTCCAGGGCTGGCCTCTGCCATCATCACACGTCCGACCGCCCTCACTGCTCCGGCCTCTACCGGTCTCTGCGGGCTCTGTCCATGGCTCGCCCCTTCGCCCTCTGCCCTGACTGACCCTGGTCACGTAGGTCACGTGCATTTTTAAGGCTGGGAATAAGGTAGGTTATAACTACGCGTCGGGGCAGAGCAGAGATCTGTTTTCTCCCTGTGATCCTGGGGCGGGGCCCGCTGGGTCTGAGACCCGGCCTTGACCCGCCTGTCTCCTGAGCAGCTCAGCAGCAAGGGCACCAGGGCCCACAGCACCCGGCACAACTCGAAAAGCGGGCCACCTACCGAGAAGCATCTAGTTGTGGGGAGCAGTGGGGACACCTGTGCTTAGCCCCGCAGTACACAAAGCTCAACGAGTTCTAACACTGGTGGGACTAGACGCCACCAGGAACAGAAACGGACACGGAAGGAAAACAGCAGCAGGAGACGGGGGGAGAGGCTTGGACGGGCGCTGTCTCCCACTCTGAAGAGTCTACGGGTCAGGGCTCTTGTGCAAGGACACACGGGACGTTCTGCCGGAAAATGAAAGGCACGTTTCTCCCGAGGAGCCAGCGTGCACTCCTCCTCCAGGCGAGGGCGGAGTCATTCCTCCGTGTCCCCGACCCCAGACAGGCACGCTCCTTGCTGCTAGTCTCCACGTGTCCACCACCTTCGTCCATGGTGCTGGCTTCCTAGTGTGACCTTATTTTCACGAGTATCAACCACCGTAAGTTACCGAGATGTACTTTCTGTAATAAGCGTTATGTCATTTCAGTTAGACAAGTCGGTTCCTATGAGAGTGGAGCCTCTGAGCTCCAGCCCACCGTCCGAGGGCCCTCCTTGGGGCCACCAAACCCAGGGTGTGACACGAGACCCATGACAGTGCAAGCAGGAGACAGCCAGTTGCAGGACCAGGTCTGCCTCCAGGAGTCCATGACTCAGTTAATTACTCCCGGAGGGATGGAATTATTTCTAGGAATTTTTGGCCTCTTTCTCTATCAAATACATTTTTAGAACAAGCAGGTTTCCATAAATCACAACAAAAACTCCAGCCTTGTAACCAAAAGACAGCGAGGAAGCTCATTCTTAGGGACCATCTCACAGATACGTTGTCAAAAAACCCTTCCAAGAGGTGGTGCAGAGCAGTGAGCAAACTGCCATCATGTTTAAAGGAGGGGCCCCTCGTTCACACCGCTGCTCACGCGCGTGTGCTCTCACACCCACTCACGGCCCGGCCCACACCAACGCTGTGTGGCTGCACAAGGCGGACAGCACAGGGGGCTGAGCAGCTAATGGACGTTGCTAACTCTTTTGTCCTCTGAACACTAATCCATGTGAACCTAATGCTTATTCCAAAATACTGAAAAGATTACAAAGGTCTGAATGCTTTCCTTCTCTGTAAGAGTAGCACTGGCACAGAAGGACACCTGCCCACAAGCTCACTCGGTTGGAGGACTGGGGGACCCACCACAGCAATGGACGGGTCGAGCTCCCCGATGCTCATCCTGCTTGGAGGGTGCTGGCAGTGGAAGCTCTCGTCCGGGATAAAGCAGCTGTCGGTGAACTCCACCGCTGGCTGCGTTGTGTGGGGGTCCAGGTAGATGAGCTCCTCACCTGGGTGAGATGACAGGGAAGTCCCATTTCAGACCCACCACACCGAAATCCCCTTGACTGGATGCGCCAGGTTGGGAGAGACAGCGGGTAGAAACAGGTTGGAAACCAGGCTCTCAGGAAGGGAGGTGGCACGGAAGGCCAGGCACAGGCCAGGCAGGGTCATGGCAACCCCTCATGGAGCACGCTGCTTTTCAATTGGCAGGCCTGGGTCAAGCCCACGCCTCTAGTGTGAGGGGAAGTGGAGGCAGGCGGAGTTCGGGGGGGGATGCCCTAAAGACCATCCCCTCTTCCTTGGCTTCTGGCCAACTGGGACGTCACTGCAGACCAACCACTCACCAACGTAGCCGATGAAGTAGTGGGCACTGTTGGGCTTCCCTCCAATCACCCCCAGGGACTGCGGCATCATGAAGCAGCGCTGCAGGAGAGAGGGGAAAGAGCGGCTGCTGAGCACACTGTGGGCCTGCTGCCCACGTGCGAGGAAGAGGCCCACGCCTCTGGGCAGGGACAGGCGTGGACATCTGAGTGCAGCAGGCGGGCGGGAAGCGGAACACCCCCAACTCCACGGGGGACTCTGAGTGACATGAGAAGACATGGTCCCAAAGAGCTCAGTCAGGAAGGAGGACAAGAAACACACGCTGTGGCTCAGGAGCACAGAACCTGCTATCACACTCAGGAAAGCTCCCTGTAGGAGGCGTGCCCGAGGAAGGCGGAAGTGGGGGGCGCTGGGAGGAGGTGTGGACAGGGGCTCACCTGGCCCACACACAGGATAGACAGGTACACAGGGCAGAAGAAATGGAGACAGGAGGTCAGTGGGACCACCGAGTCAGCAGGAGGAGAAGAGACCACAAGGGACAGTGGGAGGGAAGAGGGAGCTCACAGGAGTGCAGGGACCAGCAGGAGGGGTGACTGGAACATTCCAGGTCCAGACCAGGAGTCCACAGGGTGGACAGAGGTCAGGAGGAAAGGGGCAAGGTGGTGACAAGTGAAGGGTTTCAGTCCCCCTACTGGTCAGCGAGAGGCTGGCCCCGCCACAGACCCACCTTCAGCGTCTCCACGTAGGCCTCGTTGATGTCCGTGAGCCCCAAGCGCAGGGGGATGAGAAGCACCAGTGGTCTCCACGGTGCTGGCCTGTTGGTGACCTCGGCTCCAGCAGGGAACCCGTTACAGTGCCGGTCGGAATCTGCAGGAAACGCGGCAGCCCCCGCACACGGAAGGCTGCTCCTGCACAACCTTCCTGAGAGAGGGAGACGTGCTTTTATGGGCTGAAGAGGGGTAGGCAGAAGTTCACCCAAAAGAAACACGTACCTGATTATTCTGTAATAGGAAAAGAGTTTAACAAAGCCAAGTGCTTGGGAAATAAAGTATAAGACAAATCCTGCCACCCACAGAGAAACAAGAATCAGACATTTTCTATGCATGTTCAATTTGAAATTTTTCTTTTTTTAAGGAAGATTGGCCTTGAGCTAACGTCTGCAGCCAATCCTCCTGTTTTTGCTGAGGAAGACTGGCCCTGAGCTAACATCCGTGCCCATCTTCCTCTACTTTATATGTGGAACACCTACCACAGCATGGCCTGCCAAGCGGTGCCATGTCTGCACCTGGGATCCGAACCAGCAAACCCCAGGCCACTGAAGCAGAACGTGCGCACTTAACCGCTGTGCCACGGGGCTGGCCCCTCAATTTGAAATTTTTACTGTGAAATACACACAAAACACCTTCAAGAGCAATAACAAAACAAGCACGCAGTCACCAGTCAGCCAGAGGCAGCACTGACCAGGCCCCCAGAATTCCTGCGGCCCCTCAGCAAAGGAGAGCAACAAGGAATCACTTTTCTCCTTCCTTTTAAATGTTTAGGCAACTTATTTGTCCCCTCTACACGCACTGGGTAACCCTTCAACAAACACGTTAGCCAGGGGGTTTAGCAGCTGCTTCCAGGGCTGAGGCAGGGAAAGCACAAGGTGAGCCTGACTCTACTTAATGCCAGAAAGGAGTGCTGGAACAACAACAAAGACAACAGGAACACGTCAAAAGACAGGGCCAGCCTGAAGGGGTGCCCACCGGCCAAATCTGGGAGAGGAAGGACCGCAAATGGATAACACTTTAAAAAAGAACCCACCAATCCACTGACTCTAAACTTTCCCAAAGTAAATAAGGAGAGGGAAGGAGGAAGAGGGCTCTTGTAGAGAAGAACACCAAGTGATAAATACAAAGGCGTGAATGCATTAGAGAAACCACCATTTCAGACCCCTACTAATAAACAGAAACCCTCAATGCGCACCAGTATCATCCTCAGCTCTTTCACCAACCACAGGGAAACAGAGGCCCCGCCCTACCCAGGTGACCTAGGAAGCACTACTGACAAAAGGGTACCTCCTGGGGCCGGGCCGGTGGCGCAGCCATTAAGTGCTCACCAGTTTGTATCCCAGATGCGGACATGGCATTGCTTGGCAAGCCATGCTGTGGCAGGCGTCCCACACATAAAGTAGAGGAAGATGGGCATGGATGTTAGCTCAGGGCCAGGCTTCCTCAGCAAAAAGAGGAGGATTGGCAGCAGACGTTAGCTCAGGGTAATCTTCCTCGCGATGCTTTGAGGACAACAGAGCCCCTGAATAGTGCTCTTGGTCAAAATGTTTAATCCAAATTGAATAGCGAGGAAACAAACAGATGGAGCGTAGGACATCCTACCAGCCCAGCATAGGTCCTTCAAAAATGCCAGTGCCATGAAAAAACAGGAAACAAAGGGAGAACTTTGTGGATGAAAGACTGAAAAGGCATGGTAATGATACGTAGCGCTGACTCCTTGAGCAGGTCGTCACTAGGACACAAGTGACTGTCTCTTCTGAGGCCTGTGACACGGCGGTGGAGCAGTAAGAAAGCAAATGTGCCGGAATCCCTACCCCTGGTGAACCCAGGTGGGGCTCACGGCTGTGGTCCACCTCAGGACTGAAGTTCTCAAAACATACAGCTGGAAAAAGAATTAGTGAAGGGGCTATTTTCACTTCTTTTTATCTCTGGCTGCTTAATCTTCCCTTGACGTTGGACTTACAGTAAGAAATGCTCGTTTGGTCTTCGTCCCACTCCCAGCACAGAGTTCCCAAAACCCTTGGAATTTCCTAAGTGTTCAGAGCCAAGATGATGTCTTTTGTAATGTTAATGAGGTGACTTTTGGACCACTCCTAAGGATGGGGGCTGCTTGCCAGGAGAACTCACATTTTCCTTGCTGATTAGACCCTCACCAGCAGTACAGACCCCCTCGTGTCTGAGTAACACCAGACACCAAGGATCGGCTGCAGAAATGCTGGAAGCAGCATCTGCCTGTCACTGCTGCCCTTGCGGGACTTGCCGAGTCTGTGTGTGGCCTGCTACATCAAAACGTCCCGATGGTAAGAAAGAATGGGTTTCCTTTTGTCCCAGGCACCTATTTGCACTTTTCCGATGCTCCTTTGACATTTTTAACATATTTCAATTCTGTTTTTCTACCTATGACAATTAAACAATATCTATGCCCTCCCCATCCCTCGTGGCCGCAGGCCTTCCTCTCAGTTCTGAACGTCTTCCAGCGGTGCTGCTGTGGCAGGAAGACGAGATGGCAGGGCCGGCTTGGATCGCCTTTCTTCTCAAGTGGCTCATTATTATTACTACTATTTGGATGCTTATAAAAGTTCCTCTTTACTTTTAAGGTTTGGAGATGTCACCAGGAACCAGTATATTAACACATTCTTGATAAAAGAATCTGGAAGCCTTTAGCTCTGAAGACTCCACTCTTCCTCCAGCCCACGGCCGTTTTCTCCTGTTCCTTGCCTGTCCACCCATCCCCACCTCTGGACATTCGAATTCACACAATCACCTCGACTTCCTCGCAGATGTCTCTTTCTGCCATCAGGATCTCTGCCTCCACACTCTTCTTCTCTGATTAACTTGTATTCAGTGTTCATTCATCAGTGCCATTTGTACTCACTACCAGATCATCTTTCTCAATCTGCAATTTCTCCCCGAATTCAGGGACTTCTGCCTACTGTGCTCACGCAGTTCTACATCTATCAACATTCAACTCCGACAGAGCCTGCTCTGGACATCCTGCTGGCCCTCAGAGAACGGATGCTGGGTGGGTGGACAGGGACATCCCAAGGAGCAAGGCCCGCTCTCACGCAGCACGTTGTCCGTGCAACCTGAGAGGGAGTGTTGTAAACCCAGCTTTTACCGGGGAGGGGCTCGGGCGGGGTTTCCAACACCAGCAGTCTCTCCCTATCTGACCACCCACAAGCAGCTGAGAAGGGCCCTTGGTTGGCCAGGCATTGCTTCTCCACCTTTTGCTTTGCTGAATCCGAGATTTCTCTCCCAGGCCTGGTACCTCGGGCGACTTCGAGTAGTGGCCTGGAAAAGCAGCTGGTCTGTCTTCACTGAAGCCCTCGGTGCCTCTCTCCTGAGGCTTTTGAAGCCGAAAGCAATTAGTACAGGCCACTCAGAATTACCTCCATCTCTCCTGAACATCACCACACCCTCTGCAGGCACTGTTTTCAGCCCCAGTGCCCTTGTTGGTTGTGCTCTGATGCTATTCTTCCTGAATTGGGGCATGAGACGTCCTCTACCTGTCCCTGTGCTGAGCACCTATCAATTCTGACTCAGGGGAGGGGAGGATGTCAGTGAGACAGGGCCCTGATCACAGCCAGGCAGCCACACACCTCCTACTCAGGAGCCTACAAGTACAACTCAGGCCCCTCCCGAGAACCAGACCCACATCCTCCTCGGACAAGCCTCAGGTGCACATCTCATCACAGTTCCAGAAGTGCTGCTACAGACAACTCTTGAGACCCCAGAAGAGGCTGGAGCTGGCGTCACAATCGAGTCACTTCCAGGGCCCCCACCAGCACCATACCCCTCAGAGGGACGGAGGTTCTAGAAAGCAGCTTGTCCTTTGCTCCTTCCTAGCCACCCTAGTGGCAACCAGCACCTCTAGTCTGAAGCCAGGGGTTGGACAAACGCCTGCACTAGACCTTGAGGTGGGTAAAGGATGATGGGGCAAGCAGTTTCCCCAACAATGAGGGGAGGAAAGAAATCAAGATAAAATGGAATATTGCGCAGCCAGGTGATAAGACACTTACAACATTTTCATGACAAGAGAGAATGCTCATGATACTCCGAGTCTGCTTTTTTTGAAAAACAAAAATAACACTGGAAGGAAGTACGTCCAAATGTCAGTATGAGCTATCTCCAAGTGGTAAAATCAAGCAGCTTTTCCCCTTCTTTGTACATTTCCTACATTTCCAATGTTTTACAAAAATTTCAGGAAACAGACTGTAGGGAAACGGCAGGAAGCAATATACATCTTTCTGTTACAGTAGCAAGTTTACCAACTCTTCAGGGAGGGGCATTACTAGCAGACGGGGGCTCGGGCAGAGCGTGCAGAGCTACAGGAACCAGTGCTGCCCTTCCCGTAGAGGTCCCACCCCCGGCCCCCCCACACCCCGTGGACAGTGTCCCAAGGTGAAGAACAGGAATGGCAAGGAAGCAGCACCCCTGGAAGCCGACACGCACGCCCTCGGCAATGCTCCACGTGTGCAAGGCCCACTTCTAAGCGTCCACGTCAACCTGCAAATCTGCATGCTTAGAAATTATGTCGCTCCAAGTGCACTTTCTTACGAAAGGTGAGATTCAAGGCAACAGCTTACATATGGAACTGCAGTAATACTGGGGTCAAGGCAGCTTTGGCAAATTCTTTGGGCAAAAGGTGCTGCTGAGCAAAGAATTTAATAAGGCATTAAACAGGGTTTTGTCAGCTTAACTACAAATAAACTGTAAAGCAAGAATTCCACACTCATTGGAGGCTATTTGCCAAACCGAGCCCTCATCTTCCTCCCGCACTTAAACTTTACCATGCCTGGATGCCTTTGGGTTCCCAGTGGATCCTTCCAGAAAGAGGAAGAGAGCTATGCTCCTGCCTCCTTTACACCTTGGCTTGAGATGGTATAGTTAAGAAGTGGTTCTTGGGGCCGGCCCAGTGGCATGGCAGTTAGTTAAGTGTGCACGTTCCGCTTCAGCAGCACGGGGTTCGCCGGTTAGGAGCCTAGGTGCACACATGGCACCACTTGGCACGCCATGCTGGGGTAGGCATCCCACACATAAAGTAGAGGAAGATGGGCACGGATGTTAGCTCAGGGCCAGTCTTCCTCAGCAAAAAGAAGAGGATTGGCAGCAGATGTTAGCTCAGGGCTACTGTTCCTCAAAAAAAAAAAAAAAAAGAAGAAATGGTTCTTGTGTTTGTATTGCATTAATGCACATAAAGGGACTGAACCAAAAAACCTCCACAAATACCACTAAACCCAGTACTCTTTCACAAATTATTTGTAATAGACACAAAAACAACAAGAGTACTAAGTAACTGAGCTCTAGGGAGCATCGAGGCCCTTCCCCTTCGCCTATCTATACTGTGAAGAATGAGAGGGCCCCTGGCCTCTGTACAGAGTCCGACCTGCTCCAAGGGACTCCCAGTCACGACCCTCCTGTGGAGGCCCCTCTGTGGGCCAGACAGGAAAGCGTGCTCAGCAGCTGCTCCCGGGTGCCGTCGGCCACGCCTCCTGCCTTCTCTCTCACTTACTGATGTCCTCCATCACCACCGTGTTGTCCATCGCTATGTGGACGGCCAAGGCGCTCCATGTGTCAAAGACAGCGAGTTTCCTAACAGAAAGGGGAGGACACGCCAATAAACCTTCACAATTCAGACATTTCACCTCCACAGGGCAACCGAGGGGAACAGCTGCTGTCACCGAGCTCCAGCCGTTTCTCGGCTGAGAAAGCCCGAGGCCCAGAGACGCCCAGCACCTAGGCTGAGCTGTTTCTCCTCACCTGGAGCTCAGTGCTCCTTTCATCACCCGAGCTGCCATTTGGGGAGAGAGTCTCCACACAGGAGCCTCTCGGGCGTCACTCTCTGATCTAGCTGCACACAGGGGCGGGAACTAGAACGTGAGCCAGGGTCTCAGACGCTGCATGCTGTGCCAACTCTGAGGCAGGCCAGCCCCACCTTCTTCCCCCAGAACCGCCCCACAACAAGTGCCGAAATGACAACCAGTCTGAGTTCTCACAGGGAACCTACGGCTGAACAATGTAAACGACAGTGACGAGGAACCGTGGTCAAAGAATTCAGGTTCTGAAAAGACGAGCAGACTCTGCCATCGAAAGCATAACAGGAGGCCATGTGAGCTACTCCTGGGTGCCATGGAGGTGGGCTCGCAAGACCTAGATGAAAACGAGGGGCTCCCGGGGAGAGGGAGGACCTGGTGTGTCTGGGACACACAGGTGGAGGGCGGGGTGTTGGGAAGACCACAGAGAGCCCCTCCCAGTGGGAAGGCCCGAGCAGATGCCAGGACATCATGCACAAGGCGCCACCAGCCACCTCCTCCAACTCCCTCCTGAGCTCGTGCTCGCTGAGGACCCAGTGCTGATGACACACCGACACACGAGAGACAAAGCAGGCCCTTGAGAAGCCGACAGTCAGCGGGGGAGGCAGACAAGACAGAGTAACCACGTCAGGTAGTAGGTGCCAAGGACAACAACAAAGCAGGGGGTGGGGAGGGGTGGACTGCAGGTGCAGGAAGGCCTGATGTCAAGGGGCGTCTGGGTAGAGGCATGGGGAGCAACCCAGGCAGATGCCAGAAGAAGAGGTTCTGGGCGAAGGGCAGAGCATGTGCAAAGGCCCTGAAGTGGGTGTGTCTGGAGCACAAGTGCACTGTGCCAGGAGTGAATGCAGGGTAGAGCCCGCCTGGCCTGGGCCTGCAGCTTTCCCTGGAGTCAGCTGGGAAGCCCCAGGACAGTTGTGAGTGAGGAGGGATGGATGGCTGACTTATTTTATGAAGATGACTTCTGCTACTACGTCAAAAGAGATTCTAGGATGGCAAAGAGAAGGAAGACCAACGAGGAGGCAAGAGACAGGGCTTGGACCAGGGTGGGGACAGTGAGGCAAGGAACCCTGGTCAGAGCTTGGACATATTTGGATGGGGTGTGTTAAAGGAAAGAAGGGTCTACCATCATCTGTTTTTGGCCTGAGCTCCTGGAAGGATGGTGCTGCCATTCACTGTCAGAGAAGCAGGTGGGGCGGGGAAAGGCGCGAGCTTTGGGTTTTGACTGTTAGGTTGACATGCCCTGTGGACATCCAAAGGGCATTGCGGAGAAAGCATCTGGACGTGAGTCTGGAGTGTGGGGACAAGTCAGCCCTGGGGATGTGACTGGGAGCTGTGTGTGCAGACAACAGCTAAAGCCAGGCGATGACAGAGAGAAGAGAAGCAGCTAAAGGCCCAAGCTAAGCCCTGCAGTGCTCATGGGTGGGGTAGGAGGGGCCAGCAATGGAGGCAGAGGTGGCCAGAGGGACAGGAGAAGGACCAGAGAGCGTGGCTGAGTGGCCCAGGGTTTCCAAAAAGAGAAGGCAAGCACCTGCACCATGGGCTGCTTGCTGGAGAGCTGAGTAAGTTGGGGACTACAACTTGGCCCTCAGACATGAAGACAGATTGATGGTGACCTCCACAGGGCTGCTTCAGGACAGCCGTGGGGAGGAAGGCATCAGTGAGTGGTGCAAGACAGGCAGAGCACACACAGACCACACAAACTGACCATGCAGACCACACACACAGACCACTCAGAGACCACACAGGCAGACCACGTACGCAGACTACACACAGACCATGCAGGCAGACCACACTTCCAAGGCACGCGGGCTGGGCCCAGGACTCTAAAGGGCACGTGGCAGCAGCTGGGTAAGGAGACAGGAAGACTGGGCATGCCTGGGGCTTGGCTAGGAGTTGGACATGGAAGAAAAGGAAGCATCCTGGAGGACCGTGAGGAACCTGACAACAGCAGCTGGGTGGAGACGGCAGCCATTCATCGTGGGGAGGAGGAGCGGGCTAGGGGACGAGGGAAGAGAAGGACGGACTCAGAAACGCCGAGCGTGGGTGCCTGTGGGGGACTGCCGTGGGGACAGGGAGCAGGCAGCAGACACACGAGGCAGGATGCTGAGGGGAAGCCTTCACTGGAGACAGAGGTTTCAAGCCAGGGAGATTAGTCAGAACAGACGTGGAGGCCGAGTGCCTGTGAGGAGGGCCGTCTGCCCCCAACACACCGTTGTCACTCCAGACCAGTCTCTACTTCCCAGACTGTCAGAAACCACTGTAATGGATGGATCCACACCATAGACAAAGAACAAAGGCCCAATCCAATGGGCGTGATCCAGATGAAGGAATTCATTTTATCACAAAACATAAATTCTGATACACAAGACCACTTGGCATGGTCACCTCTAAGGACCCTTCTGAGGGCCCTGAAAGAAAGAGTAAGAGACCCCTCATTTCCTTTAGCCACGAAGACTCAGAAGGGTTTGAACACCCAAGGTATGTTCATGCTGCCCCCAAAGAAACAAGAGAGATGAGGCTTGGTACATACTTGAGAACCTGGGCGACGGTGTTGGGCCCGTACCACTGGCCAATAGACTTGCCCTCGCCAACTCCCATTTGTGCTGCAGGAAACAAATCTGATTAATGACACACATGCCCCCCGACCCTCCCAACAGCCCTCCCCCTGCCTCTTAGAAGAGGCTGGTCCTGGTGGCATGTGGCATTGGGAACACTTTACAGGAAGCCTGGACAGGCATGCCCCACTCTGCCTCTGGCATGAACTCCTGACAGACACCAAGATGCTTCCTCCAAAAGGGACAGGTGCCAACTCAAGATCTGTCCTTCACTACGAGCCAAGATTCCAGTCCTTCAATAAGGAGCAGGATTGAGGAAATGAAATGACTCGGGTCAATTCAGAGTTATACTCTTCCTTCTACAAAGGAGAACATGATGCTCCAAAGTTGGACTGGCTTAAGACAAAGGAGCATTCAGACTCACTGATGGGGCAGAAGGAGGAAGGGACCTTTGAGATCACGGAGTCTGATTTTCACAGACGCTGGGACGAGCACCATACCACTGCAGGCCACGAAGTCAGCAAGGGCAGGCAAGGCCTCAGGTCCGTGCTAGCCTGGACCAACCCCAGCAGCCCACGGTGGTTACAGGCCAGAGCGACCTACAGCCTCACACCTCACAGGCCACAATACCAGAAAAGCTCTCAGAGGAACTCAACAACGTGCTACCAGTCATTCCGAACACCCAGGAGTAGGCACACTCTGCCATCTCCCACCTATCTGGTGAATGGAGTAGTAACTGTCCTTTCTGTCGATGAACGCATTGAGGACATTGAAGTAGCTGTCCGGCTGCCTCTTCCGCTGTGTCCACCTCCAATCTATTGAAGACAGGTGCAGCAGTTCAGTTTTACCAAAATAGGAGAAAGAAACCTTCACCTTTACAAAACACTCGACACAGATGGCATCCAAACTTTTTGAACCTTTCTAAAGTAAAAAGCCAAATTCCCCACAGTTTCAAATATACATATCCCAACTCATCAAAACAACCCCATACAGAAACCAGAAGGTGGTTTCAGTGTTTTAAAGATAATTTCTAAAAGACAAACATTTATCAGTATTCTGTAAAGTCACTTTTTTTTAATCAATGAAAACCACTGGGTTGTTACTCAGGAAACCCTGAATCCTAATCTGTCTTGTACAGGGATTTGCTTTACACAACCCAACCCCACAGTCCTCTCTGCTTCCTAAGAACATCATGGTCCCAGCACCGCGACTCACCTCGGCCTAAGTGCCGGCACACCAGGGCTTGGGCAAAGATCATCTGTCCACAGCGCAGCATGCAGCCCCAGCCCGTGTCCGAGGTGGGGCCGGTTCCCCCTGTCAAGGTGACAAAGAGAGAGGGACTCACCAACAGACCCAGAGTCCACTGCAGGAGGCCGTGGTCCTAACATGCTCCAGCCAGCTCCACACCACAGGCGTCAGCTCCATCTTGGGTGACACACACCATTTAGGACCTGGTCCTGCCAAGGCTGCATTTGCTGGGAAATGAACTGTTCTGATTAAAAAAACCCTCAAAATGGGCAAAATATGTAAACAGGGAAGTCACAGGGAAGTAAGAATGTCCGGAAAACATAAGACACTAAGCCTCACGAGTGACCCAGGAAACGCGAGGTCAGATAAGGAGAACCACTTTGCAACCAGCAGAAAGGCAAACCTTCAGTGGCTGGGAGTGTGGGAAGGGGCCTCGCGTGCAGTACATGCAGAAACGTAATTCAGGGGAGGGCCAGCAACAACCCTCAGCACTTAAGCACACACGCCTTGGGCTCGTTCACGTCCACTTGCCAGGGCACAGAAGGATTCTGACACTGAGCACTCTGGTACCGCATACATTGTGAGAGGCCCTAACATGACAGGAAATGCCCTGACATCCTAACAGTCAGCAGGGAGAGGGGGAGAGATTCAGGGGTCAGACCACATGGGTTGCAGTCCAGCTGGCCCCACTCTTTACCCACAGCATCACCTTGGAGCCTTTGGCAGCCCCTCCCCAGGATATGGGTGGACAAAGCCAAGCTCTTGGGACAGTGATGGGATCAGAGAAGGTGCCTATCTGAGGTACTCTGCACAGAGCCTGGCACAGAAACCACCACCAACGGTACCTGCCATTATCTTCCCCCACCTCCCACACAAACAAGTCATCTCTGAGGGGCCAGGCAAGGAAAGAAATGCTGCTGGCCTGCGGAACCGAGGTGGTCCACCTTCTTAATGGCTTTGGCAAACGACACAGGCTCCTCTAGCCGGTCCTCCTTCTGTGCGTTCAGACACCTGACCTCTGACCTGGAGGACAGCAGTGTCCCTCCCAGCACCACAGAGCACCCCTCAACTGCATCCAGGGCCGAGTAGAGCAGCCTCAGAGCAGACATGAAAGAAGACCTTGTGGGGTGAATGACCATTCCCAGGACACGTCTGACCAACACATCATGAACTGTTAACTGTGGTGACACCAGGCTCATGTCCCTATGTTTCGGTGTTCCCGAAAGTCAAGCATTGTGGCTCTTTTACGCCCACCTCACTTCTGGAGAACAGATGAAACCACACTGAGGAAAGGGGCCAAACTGAGACCAGCCACCGAGGAGGTGCAGCCTCCTGGTCTCGAACCTCTGGTCTTGGGTTCTCTGACTGGCACGGCCAGGGCAGGAGCTGGTCCCCATCCTCTGTCCATCTCCAGGGGCACAACAATGAAGAACCACTTTTAATGGAATGTATTTTAGTGTTACATGAAAATATGTCACAAACACCCTGCTCTATAGCTCTCCCCACAACTAAGTGTGGAACATACTGGAAAAGATGACGAATACAGAACGATGGCTTCCAAACATCCTGGACCTACAGTAAGAAACACACTGTAACCCATGACCCAGGACAGCATATAAACAAACTAAAGCCTCTTGCAGCATCACGCGGCCTTACTACACACAGTAACTCACTATCTCACATTCCATTCTGTTCCACATTTTTAAACACTAGTTGTGACTCATTATCCTGATTTTAGCCTCTGGTAGTAAATTGTGACACACACTTGGAAAACCACCGCCCTCAGGAGAATCGAGAGCCCTGGATTTGGAATCTGGCTCTGCCATGAACAGGGGCAAGAGTGCAGCCAGCTTACTTCGCTAGGGCTGCTGCAAGGATCACAGCTAAGTGACAGGGATCTGGCATACTGAAGTCAACGCTGTAAACCGAAGTTTCCCTCCTTCTAAACCGTGTATATTTCGTTATGTTGTGACAATGGAGTACTTACCAATGGCAGGGAAGTTCTTCCTGTATGTAAACCAAAGTCTCGACGCCACATCAGACAAGATCTCGTCCTTTTCTAGGATTGGTTAAAAGAAGAAAAGACGCATACACTCAGCCTTCAGTTTGGAGGTCAAGTGTTACAGAAAGTTATCACCACAAAATGCTTTCTGCAGACTGAGCGCTAAGAGCCCAGCAGGCTCCAACACGGCTGATACCTGTGAAAATGCTGTATTTTCTACCCAGTATCCAAACAGGCTCTGAGGTCTCTGGGAAATCTTCAAACTCAGCAAATCGGAGAGTGTCGTAGGTCAGAGTAGCTGTTGAAGCCAAAGACACGCATTGGTCAAAATTTCGTAATCCCATGGAATATTAGCAGAGATCACGCACAGCGTTTCCGCACACAGACCCCCCCTGGAGCTCCGCATCTCAGAGCCTCCCTACCCCAGCACCTCAGCAGAACCGCCCCACAACCACCGCTGACAAAGCAAGCACCTCCCATCCGACTTCCCAGCCTCTCAGATTCCAAGCCAGAGTCCATGTCTGGCAGACAGGACTGCGAGACAAAGCAAAAAAAAAAAAAAAAACCAGCAACTTGATTTAAGCACTTAACTGTTTTAGATGTAAAATGTTTAAAACCTAAAGGACAAAACCAAAATAAACTGGACCCTTTATCTTTGTATGCAAGGGAGGCCAGAGACTAAACAGACGGTAGAGAAAGCTTTTGTGGCCAAAGACTACAAAAATATAAAAAATCATCCACAGCCTCACACCCAGCAATGAATCTCCTTCCAGAGGTCTCTATGCAGAGATCCATAAGTGAAACCTCACTGCACCTGTAGTTTCCTCAGCTTTAGCCTTCTCAACAATGAAACGGTCATTCTACACACAGAGTTCCACCAGGGGTCACTCCACACGGACACCGAGCTCCACCAGGGGTCACTCCACACGGACACCGAGCTCCATCAAATGTCTCAAGGTTTCACAGCGTTCTGCTGGACGTGTGTCCACACCATAACTCACTCAAGCGCCCCGCCAGGGTGCGCCTAACGTTTCCCGCATGAGCACCCTGCAGTCACCCCTGGGGAAGGCGGGGGCAGAGCGCTGGCTCTGGTGCCTGGTGGTCAGAGTTTAAGTCTCAGCTCAGGCGCTCACAGGTTGTAGGTTCCTGGGGCTGTTACGTACCCTCTCAGTGTGGAAACTCCCTGACCCATAAAATGGGGAAAAATAACAGGATGCCCTTGCAGCACGGCTGTGAAATGTGCATGAAACCATTCCCATGAGGCACTCAGAGGCTGGCAGACAGAAGGGCTTCAAGGTCAGCTGGTGTCATCAACATCAAGGACAAAGAACCGCAGGCTCAAAGGCAAGCCATGTTATTACCGCAAAAGGCTTAATTGGATGTGCAGCTAATACCCAGTCACAGGACTGGGAAAGCACGCTCACTGAACTAACAAATCCGCAGCAACAGAAGGCCCTGGATTCACTACTTAAGGAAGTCACAGGCTGCTAGGAACCCGGATGCAGCTCTGCCTTCCTTCTTTTCACCTGAAACCCAACAGGGTCAGAGCAGTCCTGTGCTTCCAGAGCCAGCTCTGCTGCCCAGAGTGCCTAGGCATGACAGCAGGCCCAGGGGGCCTCGGTCCCCAGGCCTCATCAAGGGGCTCTGCTCTGATGGCACTCACTTGTCCAAGCTTCCACACACGCTGTCAACCAAGCTGCTTTGTGATCGAGAATAAATAGTTCAAAGTCCAAGTTTATTTTTCCCTTTTTGTTTTATATAAGATTACTTGTTTCTGCACATGATTATAAAAACCAAGTTGAGGGGGCTGGCCCCATGGCTGAGTGGTTAAGGTCGCGCACTCCATTTCAGCAGCCCAGGGTTTCGCCAGCTCTAATCCTGGGCGCGGACATGGCACCGCTCACCAGGCCGTGCTAAGGCAGTGTCCCACATGTCACAACTGGAAGGACCCACAACTAAAAATACATAACTATGTACCAGGGGACTTGGGGGAGAAAAAGGAAAAATAAAATCTTTTAAAAAAACCCCAAAAAACAAGTTGGGATGAATGAAAGTTCTATCTTTTCAAGGAGCTGAAAGGTCGTAGTGTCTCTGCTAACCTCTTGAAAGCAACCTCCATATCTTCAGGAACACTGCCTTCTTCGAGCTCTAGGCTTTTACCAATATGCAGACTCAAATCCACCCAGTTCACTCTCAAGGAAAAAGGACGCAGACAACACCTGTCTAATTTGAACTGACAACACCGCAGGGCCGTCCTTCTCATCCTGCTGGGATGAGATGTTTCTACTGATGTTTGCGACCTGCCAAGGCAGCAGCTTTGAACTAAAGACGTACGCATTTTCCAAAACATGTACTAGAGAGCTCAGAGCGCGTTGGGCGAGGGCCTCTTCTGTGGACTGTGTCAGAGGATGTGGCACATGTCAAGGGCAGCGACACTGTATCAGTGAGTCTGCAGGATCGGTCTGGACATCGAGACACTCCTAAGATAGCCAGCTCCCATACTGAGAAAATCATGATAATGAAGGAGACAAGTAGATAAGGAAGAAAAGGAAAAAAAGCTCATGCTCAAAGGAGAGTGACAAAGGCTGGGGCAGCTTTGAAATTGAGGGGTTTTCATCACTCGAGTGGTAAAATGCAAAGCAGGCGTATTTCTTCAGTTTACTAGCAAACTTTATAGGCAACGAAGCCAACTTCAGAGAGAAGGCAGTAAGAGCTGTTCTGCCAGTCTCAGCCGCCTGACCCATCACGTGACCCTCACGTTGGGAACCTTTCTGTGCCTCAGTTTTCTCACTGGTAAAATGAGACCAGTTGTGTTTTCCTCAAGGCTCGTGTGAGGAAGAAACAAGTCAATAAACCCGTACTGGGTGGCGATCGTAAGCACGTTTCTGGGTTGGCCCTCTGGGAGTCACTGAAATGGGTGACACAAAGACGACAGTGTAGAAGGAGACATTCTCCACGTTCTGTAACCAAACTGAGGTGCAGCCCCTCACACAATAAAAACAGGAAGTTGACCCAACATGAGTTACTTCACTAAACCTGAGTCTTAGTTTAGAGTCTCTAGTTGAAACAACCAAGGTCTTTCCTCACAAGAGACAGGCCTGCATTTAGAGAGCAGGAGCTAGCCATGCACACCCCTTCCCAGGCAGGTTCAGTGGCCTTAGGCGTTTTCCCTGGAAAGTGAGCACAGAGTCCAGGGAGCAGCAGCAATTCCGAGCAGAGGAGCAGGTGCAGGACTGGTCATCCCTGTGCAGCCAGCACCCAGGCTTGACTGGCCGTCAGTGGCTCCACACTGTCCCTCCTGTCCTTCCCAAAGCAGGAAATGCCACAGGCCGAGGCACCCTCATGGCTCCCTTGGACAGACGCACTGCGCCCTCAGCACAGGCTGAGGGGCTTGGACCAGACTGCCAAGCTCCCTGACCTTCCAGATCTTTCTTTCTACTGGAGGAAGGAGACATTTTTCTAAATCACACTCCCTTCTAAGGTTCAGCTTTCTAATTCCTATTAAGATGTGTCTTTGGAGACAGAGAGCCCACTCTCCTGCTGAATGACATGTGACAACTTCTCCCAGCCTCAGTCTCGTCACCCATGAAACGGACGGAGCTGTCGCCTCTGCCCAGCAGGGGAGAGCACGGGACAGATGCGAGGCTCCAGCATGGGGTGCAGCACCCAACACTGGTTCTCAGCACTCCCTCCTCCTCTTTTTCATGATTTCAGCCCTCATTACTTACAAGATGAAACCCCCCGCCAAAGAAAACACCACTTTTATTATCAATATTAATTTAGCCAAATTTGTATTAATACTGCTGTAGAACAGAAAACATTATAGGACGCCAGTTCAAAGAACATTTCAATAGAAAAACTAATACTTTTCTAGTTTAAAACTAAAATTCAGGGGCTGGCCTGATGGCATAGTCGTTAAGTTCACACACTCTGTTCGGTGGCCTGGGGTTTGCAGGTTCAGATCCTGGGCGCAGACCTACAAACTGCTCATCAAGCCATGCTGTGGTTGTGCCCCACATACAAAACAAAGGAAGATTAGCACAGATGTTAGCTCAGGGCCGGTCTTACAAACACACACAGCCTAACTAAAATTCACACTCACTAACATTTGCACAGATTGACCAAACCGTTTAGCCCACTCTCCAAGGTTTAGCAACTCTCTGCTCTCAGACTGACCAGGTCCACTGAGGCTTGAGGCCAGCAGCCTCTGCACTGCTCCCAGAGAGGGCTCCCTCATCTTATTCCACTGCCCTCATTGTAATTTCATCATCTTTTCACGTGATATCACATCACTTATGAAGCAGTTCCCATATCTCCTGAGTTCAAAGTAGTCAAACCTCGAAAAGAATGCCAGTCTCCAGACGCCAGGTAATGATTTTAATTTGAACTAAGACAACACGCAGGAGAAGCAAGGTGGACAGGCACCGTCCACTGGAAAAAAAGAGGCCCTTTCAGAAGCCCTTTCCCCACTTGGTCACGTGGGTCCCAGTCACTTAATTTCCCACGTCTTCTTCCGTGGGATGTCCCTGATTACAGTTGGAAGAGAAAGCAGAAATACTATGTAATTCCCTTAGAAAAAAATGTTTTAATATTATTGATTGGATGGACAGAAAAGTCAGGAATTGTGCTCAACGAATGTAACCAACTTCTCTCTACTTACTACCAATCACATGGTAATTCAACCTGGGAGAACCACAAAAAATATGCACCACTAGATTCTTCCAGAGTTTACCGCAATACATCGTGTTTCAGAAATATTTTCCCAAACATTTACATTTTCTGGGAGATTAAATTTTATAAACAAAATCAAAAGAAGGGCTCTCTGCTTCCTTTAGAAAACGTTTATGTTTAAGATTGCAAGTAGCTATTTTATTTAAATCCCAAATTGTTTATATGAAGATGCTGGTGGTTCAGTTCTGAATGGAAAGAAAGAGAAAAGGAAACAAGAAAAAGAAAAGAACCCAGAATGCCGGCCACATCAGAAAACTGGAAACGCTGCTTTAGCGAACACCGGGTCGGACGTCCACATTGGACCCACTGCCCCACAGCGAGCAGCGCTCTCACGCCTTTACACCTCACACTCACACACTGGGTTTGCATCATGCAGTAACCCTAAAACAAGAGCTTACAGTGCAGGAGTACACAAGTTGTTACTCAATTTCTGCTTCTGCGATTACCAACCCCGTGCCAGACATAATGCGAGGCACTGAAGAAGCCGCGTAAGACCTGGCTCTGTCCTCAAGGAATGGACAGTGTGGCTATGTAAGTGCTGGCACATGGCGGTTCCTTAAACCGGGTGCGTGATTTGACAGCACTGAGGGCTCCATGGAGAAGACAGCCAGCCCGTGGTCTGCCTGCCACCTTCCCACCTCCACACGCAGGCAGCCCCGGGCCCCTCCTCCCTGGCCCCTTCTCTTTCCTCCCATTCAAAGCGGCCTCCCGCACACCTCTCTCTAGTCCAGGCCTACTCCCTCAGCTCCAGGCTCAGAGACCCAAAGGCTCCCTGGGCATCACAACATGGATGTCTAACAGGCACCTCACAGTCAACTCGGACAAAACCAAACTCCCAACAGCTCCCCACCAAGCAGGACCGCTCCAAGTCTCCCCGTCTGAATGCCCGAGCTCAGGCCACCACCTCAGCGCTATCTTCAACTCCTCCCTCCCCAGCCCCACTCCTCACCACTCCCAGACTGTGCACACCCCTGCTGTCGCTACGTTCAAACACACCCAGAACTCACCCTCCTCCCCACCCTCACCTAAGCCTCCGAGGCCTCTCTGCTGGCTTACTGCAACAGCCCCCCAACCGGCCTCCTCACTTCTGCCCTTGTCCGTCTGCAGTGCATTCTCAACAGAGCAGCCAGGGCGAGTCTGCTCAACATACATTCAGTTACGTTACTCCTCTTCTCAAAACCTTCCAAAGGGTCACTGTCTCATTCAGAATAAACAGACGCCCAGTCCTCACTAGGATCCAACAAGGCCCACACTCTGCCTTCAGCTCAGGTGGAATTCCGTCATCCCCACCCGCTGTACCCTGGCCACATGGGCCTACCTGCTGCTCCCAGAGCAGGCCACTTGCCCTTCCTCCTGCACTGCCTTCAGGCCTTGTTCAGAACTTACCTCTGTGGTGAGACGTCTCCTGGCCACAACTCCAACCCCCTCCTGCTTGGCCCACATCACTCTCCCAAGTGAGACACACCAGTGGTGTCATGTCTACAGTGTCAGCCAGGGCACAGTTGTTGTCTGTTTCGTTCACTTCCCTAGCCCCAGGGTCTAGAACAATGCCCCACACAACACTCGCACTCAATAAGGAACGTAGTTTATTAAATGGATAACCATAAAAACAACCAGGAACTGCCTAACATTTGGGCAAGGAGGGCAGAATCTGTAAGGACTCCAGGGATCTGGGAGGCTGGTCCATTAATCATCCCTAAAAGGACGTACAGCATCATGACAGAAAGAAAACTCCCCAGCACATCCTACAAATATCACATATATTCTTATCAGCATCAACAGAGGCCTTACGCCCATTCTACTCTGAAGCAGCCTTCAGGGTCCCATTAGGGGATGATCACGTGGCTACTCCTGCCTTTAACACGATGGATGACTTTCACATTTAAGGTAACACAACTAACATTAAACTGTGCTCTCCACCTTAACCGAGCCTCTCCTATGAATGGCTGGAGGTATGCAACCAGGAATAACTTGAAAGAAAGCAGATAAGCAAATAATTCTATTCCTTCCCCCACCTGGTGCCCCCAGCAAACAGTGTCTGAGATACTTTTCCTTTTTTAAACAAACTTCACAAAAAAACACACCTGATTAAAATGCTCCTTTGGGAGTCAGGGTTACTGTTTCCTCCAGCCACCTAACACATTTAAATGACAAGACGCCACAAATCGCTGAAATGTTGGCTGTACACGTCTACCTTTATAATTTCCAAACTGAGATTTCAATAAACTTTTGTTGCAGCCGCCAGAAAAAGCAAAGCAAAGCAAAAACAATGCCATCTAGGATGACAGGTGGAATTAAACCAGATAAAAGGCTTCCTTGACAGAGGAGGGGATACTTGAAGGCAAATCACAAGGAATGAAAGAACTAAAACTGCTGTGGGATGAAAAAGAACGCCCGGGTAAAAATGCTTTCAAGGCCACTGGACAAAGATCCAAAATATCTTGCCAGCAAATTAAGGAATTGTCCCCTCTGGAGGAGCAGCATGATAGGACTGGCCAAACACCAACACCGCCCCGCCCCAAACCCACACAGGCTCTGTATTAGGACCCCAAGAAGATAAGACATGATGAGATGCATTCTCTCTCTTCAATCACAGAAAAAGAAGCCTGAATGATCTATCGGTCATGAAATAACAATAAAAAAAAGAAACAGATGCGCGTGCTGTGTGGACTATGTTTCTCGCCTCGGGTATACAATATAACTTCCTAAGAGTTAAAGTCTCCACTTCTTAACTCCCGGCGAGGGAGGCAACGCCGTCTCAAGCACCAGCTCCGCCCGGGCCCCCGGCCCCGCCCGGGCCCCTCCCTCCCCGCAGAACGCCGCGCTGCCCCTTCTCCTCCGGCGGCCTTCAGCCTGTCGCGCGGGCCGCCCGGGCGCCACCGGCGGATAGGAAAAGGCCGAGACCCGCAAACACCGGGCTGTCAGATCCGCACGGCCTCACCCCAGCCGCCGCCCCCGCCCGCTCCGCCCGCGGGCCCCGCTCCCCCCGCGGCCGCCCCGCGCCCAGGTCACGCCAGGCGAGTCCCCGGGCGAGAGACCAGACGAGTCCCGGCGGCCGAGGGGCCAGGCGAGAGCCACCCCCGGGGTGGCCCCCAGCCCGGCCAGGCCCTCACCTGCGTCCATCTTCCCTCTCCGGCCGCCGACTGAGGGAGGCTTCGCTCCGACGTTTCCGCAGCGCGACGCGACGCGACGGGCCGCCGCCGGGGCCAATCCCGGCAGAGCGGGCGCGGGCGGGGCCGGAAGTGCGCGACGGAAGTCCGCCGGCCGCCATCTTGGCGTACGGCGGGGCCCAGCGCGGAGGGCCAGGCTCGCGCGCTCGGCTCCCGGGCGGCCGACGTGGTTCGCTCCGAGGACCGCAGCAGCGACCCATCGGGGCAGCGGAAGCAGGCGTGAGCGGGCAGTGGGGCCCCGGAGCGGGCGCGTCAGCCCGCCGTGCGCCCAGGCCCTCGGCGCGGCCATCTTGCCGTACGTACGGACCCAACGCGCCATGTCGCCGCACGGAGCAGCCGGCCCGAAGCGCCCCCTCCCACCCGCGACGTCGCGAGCCCCGGGCTGCGCCCCGCCGGGTGCTGGGGACCCTGGGCGCGCCGAGGGCCGAGGACCCGGGGCCGGGGGCCGGCCGGGCGGGGGGCGCGCGCCGCCATCTTGCCGTACGGCGGGGCCGCGGGGCCGGCTCCCACGTCCCGCAGCCGTGTCGCCGCGCGCCCTCCCCTCGGGGCGGTCCCGCTCGGGGCTCGGCGCGGCGAGACGACGGCCGGAGCTTGGCGGTGGCGCGGCGGCCGGAGGCCCGAGATGGTGATCTGCTGCGCGGCCGCGAACTGCTCCAACCGGCAGGGCAAGGGGGAGAAACGTGCCGTCTCCTTCCACAGGTAACCGGCCCCTCCCGGCCCGCCGCCCGCGCGGCCCGGCGGCCACGCCCCCGCCCGGCCCGGCCCGGCCC